TGGCTCTCAGCGATACCAACCAGAAGGCCTGAATCCTAGGGCTGGCCAGGGAGTGACACACCAGGCTCAGCAGACCCCTCCTGACCCGCTCCGCTCAGCACTGTACTTTGTCAATCTGCCTGTTCTTCTCCCCAGTGTCTCTGATGAATTTTCTCACCCACCGCACCTCTGGCCTGTATCCCAGTTCTTCTAAGCAAAAATACGTAGTAAAAACAAAGAATTTACCTGTCGTAAACATGAATCATAACTCATAAGCGAAGCATGTATATTTATTGTGTAACTAGTGCATGTAGTTCAAGTTTGAGAGTGAAAAAATATTTTTTAAAGATTTTATTTATTCATTCATACAGAAACTGGGGTACAGGTCAGAGGTACGGGGTTTGTGAGAGGATTCACCAGAGACAGAGTGGGGGACAGAGCAGGCCAACTGACGAAGTGCACTGCTGAGGGGAGCAGTGGGAGGGTCAGGAGGGGTCTGCTGCGCCCCGTGGGTCACCTCCGGGGCCAGGGATTGAAGTCAATCTGAAGTGGGTTTAGCTTCTTAGTGCTATGCTTTAAGCAGCTGCACCACCAGGGAGGGCCCCAAAATTATTTTTTTTAACGGCACACTCACTCTAACTACTTCTGGGTAGACTTTTTTAATTACCTTTCAAAGATACAATTTGAAAAATCCAAGGAAAAGTTACAGTACCACGAAGCTTCCAAACCATTGAAAATAAACTCAAAAAAGCCTGTAACAGGGCTCTACCTGGTGGCGCAATAGGTAAGGATGCAACACTGCAAATTGGCCACAGCCACTTCTGTCTGATTTTGATCCCTGCCCTGTAGGTGACCCCCCTGGTCACAGCAGGTCACAGCAGACCTCTCCTGACCTGCCCACTGCTCCCTCACCTGTTCTGCTCCCCACTCTGTCTCTGGTGAACCCTCTAACCACCCCTGCATCTCTTGCCTGTCCCCAAGTTCTATAAGCATAAATAAAAAAATCTTTAACAGAAAAAAAAAAGCCTATAATGAACTGGGACTTAGTCAACATTATATAAAGGTTAATTTTCTAATGCATGAGGTCAGACATTATTTTAAGACTCATTTATTAATAGAATGGGGCCAGGCAGAGTTATGGACATTGCGAGGATTCACCAGTGACACAGTGGGGAGCAGAACAGACAGACTGACTGAAGTAACAGTGCTGAGGGGAAATGGACGGGAAGGGGAGGTCTGCTGTGCCCTGAGTGTCAGCTCGGGCTGGGGACACCACTGGGGCCAAAGCAGTGGAGGCCACTTCGCAGTGCTGCACTGAGGCCATACACATGGCTTTTTTTTTTTTTCCTAACTCTAGCTCTTCTACAATAAGAAAGTTTAAGAATAGAGTTCACAGTAAAGGACACCGCAAAGCAGTCGTTCATCTCGCCTTACCTGGGGTAATGCCCCCCTCTATTTCCTCACTTATGCCAATATGAGCGCAACTGCTGGAGTCATTTGGCTTTGAAATACGTGGAGCTGCTTTTCAGAAACTGAATGGGGAAGAGGAGCCTGCAGCCAGTGCTGAACTCCTGTTTTCCTCAACCCTTGACAGCTCCCCGTGGGGCCGCTGGACACAAACGTGACACACGGAACAGATACATTTGTACAAAATAGACTCAGTTTAAAGTCCCCAGAAAGTGGATTTCTGGGAGCGGCTTTGCTCTGAGATGAGAACATGAATCCCACCATCATCCGTACTCAGTGATGACAGGCTCAGACCATGGGACGCCGGTCATACCGCTACTTGGCCTATCTGAGGTCTGGTCAGGGCTGCTTAGACTTTGAGGAGGCAAGATGAATCCCACACAGGCTTTCCATGAGAGTCTGTCTCACCTCCTGCCCAGAACAAAGAAATAAACCAACTCCTCCAGGGTGACATCCAGAGCACAGATGGGAGAAGGGTGTGGACAGAAGGCCGGTGTCCTTCTGACCACCTCGTCCAGTGAATTTTAGGTCTCCTTCCAGTGCAATGACACTGGTGCTGAGCAATGCCAGCCTGACCGGCGGCACCGGGCCCTCCCGAGGCACAGAAGCCTGGACACAGCATGACCAATACTTTAAAGAGCCCTCAGAGATCACGGACCAAAGCCATGTGTGAGTGCCACGTAGACAGCTGTCCACCGTGGACACGGAGAGCATCATCCAGCAACTTAGGAGGACACGAGAAGGGACAGCACCAGGGGCAGCTACATCACTGCTGCACACCTTGACCAGCGACTGAACCAGACGAGTTCATGCAACTATGAATTAAAACTGCTGGTTTGTTCACAGTGCTTCACTGAATGCTGTCTTGTTTTGTGTTAGAAGTTGTAACAGCTTTCAACTTTTCTGTTATAGATTTATTTACTTATGTGTACAGAATATGGGTAGAGGGTAGAGGGCAGAGGTGCAGGGGTGGTGAGAGGAATGACTAGAGTGGGGAACAGAAGATGCATCTGACAAACCACACTGTGGAGGGAAGCAGTGGGGGGTGGTCAGGGCGGATCTGAAAGGTGTGCCATGTGGGTCACCTTCCTGGCGGGGAGTGAACTTGAACTGAAGTGGCTTCATCTAGCCTCATAATGCTGCACTTTTAAAAAATATATATTTATCTATTTATTCTGTATTTATTCAGAACTGGGGCACAAGCCCTAAAAGTGGGGGCAGCGAGAGGCTTCACCAGAGACAGAGTGGGGAGCAGAACAGGCAGATCAACAAAGTTCACTGCTGAAGAGAGCAGCAGGTGGATCAGGAGAGGTGTTCCATGCCATGTGGATCACCCCTGGGCCAGGGGATAGAACTCACATGAAGTGGCTGCAGCCAGCTTGCAGTGCTGCGTCCTAACCTGTTGCGCCACCAGAGAGGACCCATGGCGCGCTTTCACCTGCTATGCCACCAGGAAGGGCCCAGTTTTCATTTTATAACAGAAATAATATTCAAATAGAAGAATGGTCCTTGCCTGTGTTGCAATTCTCCTGGGCTATGTGGAGCTGCAGGACAAGGCTGGGAAATAACTTGCTTGCCCACCAGAATAAAAATGCTGTGTAAATACAGGCAAAGTCTCTACCAGACAGTGCTCCCCTGCTCCGCATAATCTCTAGGATCCCTGCAGGGTGACTTCCGTGTTTCCTACACAGGTTACCCCACAGGGTGTCTCTCTGTGTGACGGCCCATGCAGCAAGAGCTCCTCTGGCAGAAAGCGACCCTGCAGTACTGACATCCTCAGGGCTTCTCTCCTCGGAGTTCTCTGCTATCCAGTCAACCTGATTTCCAGTAAAAACCATTACTACGGCCCTCCCTGGTGGCGCAGCGGGTTAAAGCACAGCACTAAGAAGCTTAAGCCACTTCCGCATGAGTTCGATTCCCGCCTGCCCCGGAGGTGACCACATGGCGTGGCAGACCTCTCCTGACCCGCCCGCTGCTCCCCTCAGCAGTGTGCTTCGCCCATCTGCCTGTTCTGCTCCCCACTCTGTCCCTGGTGAATCCTCTCACCCTCCGCATCTCTGGCCTGTTTCCCAGTTCTGTATGAATAAATAAATCTTAAAGAAAAAACCTTTACTACATTTGGGATACTCACAGACAGCTTGTCAGTGAGTTATCTACAGATGCCGACTGAGGGCTTCTCTCCAGGAAAATGTTACCCTCTGCTCCAGACACTAGTAAGTTAACCGTGTGTGAATTCGCTGGTCTGCACTCAGAACTCTCTTCTGAGATACCGGAAAAGACATGAGCAATTTTGCAACAGAGAAGAAGGGAAAAAATATAAGTCATGAGCTTCCCTACAAGCTAATAGTTTTCCTTCACTCTTGACATTCATGGGGCTTCTCTCATGTGACAATTCTCTATTGTCCAATGAGGCCTGATTTCCAGGAGAGAGTTTACCTATAATCTTAACATTGACAACGTTTCTGTGGAGAGTAACATCTAGAATAAATAGCAAGGCCTGATTTCTGGGGAGTTTTTTTTTTTTTTTTCTGGGAAGTTTTACTAGTCTTTTCTTTCACAGGATTTCCTCCAGGGCACATTATGTGATGGTTACTCAAGGATCACTTATTGGAGAACGTCTTTCTGCACTATTGACATTCATAGAACTTCTCTCCTGTGTGATTCTTTTGATGTCGGGTAAGACATAACTTTGAGGAGAAAGTCTTCCTACACTCTTCACATTCATAGGGCTTCTCTCTAGTGTGAGTTCTCTGATGTCTACGTAAGTCTGACTTAATGGTAAACATTTTCCCACACTCCTCACATGCATAGGGCTTCTGTCCAGTGTGATATTTCTGATGTCTACAATGGTTTGACTTAAAAGAAAAAGTTCTCCCACATTCCTGACACTCATAAGGCTTCTCTCCAGTGTGAGTCCTCCCATGTGCAGTGAGGTAGGACTTACTAGAAAAACTTTTCCCACACTCTTCACATTCATAGGGCTTCTCTCCAGAGTGAATTCTCTGATGTCTAGTTAAGTCTGACTTACAGGAAAATGGTTTCCCACACTCCTGACATTCACAGGGCTTCTCTCCAGTGTGAATTCTCT